TTTTTTTTTTTTTATTTTCACTTCATTGCGATACCGAACATGCAGCAGAATACGCATCGAACGTATATCCCCCTTTACGAGACTCCAGAATATCAAGCAGTCGAGTCGTTGTTTCACCGAGAAACAGCGTAACTCGTTACGCGGGCTCCGGCTTGCTTTTCCGTTACGCGATATCTGATCGTTATTCCCCATTTTCTCGTTTTCCAATTGCTGAGATCGTTGTTCCGCGGTGCGTGCACGATTTCACGTGGCCACATCCTCCTTTTGTTTTCCCGCATTTCCTCATTCGCTCCATCAATATCGCCGTCGATCTCTGAAAAATCATTATCTCGCCAGGCGCGTTGACATGATTTAAGGGAGGCCGAAAGAAAAGGGGGGAAACGGCCTCAAGTCGCTCAAGCTCGCGTTTCGGACTGCAGGAAAATTTAATAACTTTCAATGTTACTTAAATTTATTCAAGATGTGCTCGATCTCAAAGTCCAGGATTTTTTCTTTTGCGCGAATGAAAGGTGAATTTTTCACGAGGAACAAGAGTTCGATTAATATTATTGATCATTTTGTTTTATTACTTTTTGCCATCTTTCAAGCAATCTTATGATTCCGCGTTCAAAAACAAATTCTTACTTTTTTCGATAAAAAAAAAAGTTCCAAGAAGGATTTGACATCTTCATCAGTAGTGAAATTTAACAAACTAATTTTTATAAGCACAACTTGTTTTCTTTCCTTTTCGGAAATAGTACAACAAAATATGACCTCTCTTGATGTTTCATTGTGAAATCGTCGTCGAACAAACAATCGTGCATTTTCTTTTTCTAAAACAATCAGCTATCTGATTACGCGATGAATCTGCGGTTTAAAATGAAGATTTGGTTTGAAGAAATGATTTAGTTACATTTTAAGATACACACACACACATATATAAAGTAGTTGCGACTTTTTGACCAACTCAATAACATAATTTCATTCATATAATACAAGATGTAGCTTAATATATATATGTAGAAGTTGATTCTTAGATGTTGACTCTGAATCTCTTCAGGCTGTTCGTTCAA